ACGATTTCTTTTCTTTAAAAAAAGACAACTCCCGCACTAGGAATAAATCCTGTGTCGCGGGGGACTTTACAAACATACATGAAACGGACACAAAGTACACCCAGACTCAGAACAACAATTTGTGGATCACACAAAGTGTTGGTCCATGTGGGGTTTGAACCCACAACACTCGGCGTAATAGGAAGCGGCGTGGCGACCGCTTTAACCACTACGCCATCCGTGCAGTCTACTCGTGATTTCTACGTTAACGTCACCCGACCTAGACAAATAATGACTAAAACAAAACTAAACGTATTAAGGAAACGATGTCACGATGCGATGAAACACCAAATAGGACACAAACATGGGCGTAAATAGATCCCGTATAGAACACAATTGGTCAATTGGCTATTATACTACACGTACAATAAAATGCCCGTTTGGTGCAAGCACTGTTATCAATCTTTATCAAACTGTTTAAAAGAATTGGTTATGATGGAGTGTCAGTTATAATACCTACCTCAGTGGAATAAACAAGAAATGTGGTACCTTGGAACCCCAGGTAGCAAAACATGTGTGTGTTTGCATTGCATTTAGATTAGATTTTGACGGGTGAAATATATTAGACATATTGAGTTTAAAAGCTCATAAGTCATACGCTGCCTAATTCAAAGGTACATATACAATATTGCAAGTATATGTACAACTATACACGGGGTAAGGGACATCGTGAAGAATACTGAAATAGTGTATTCAGACCATCATTCTAAGTCTAAAATTTAACTTTTTATGCAATCAGCTGTCAAAGATAAAGGTCATTCCCCGTAAGTATCGCACAAAAGTAATAACTACATGTGTATTCCGTGCAAACAGTCTACGAACACTAACACAAGATGGCGGCCGGAGGGGAGGCGGTATTTGTTAATTTGTTTTCGGTAAAATTTTCTGTTTACTCATTGTGTCTCTGCATATCATTTTTAACCAAAAAAAGGAAAATTATAAAAAAAATACGAATTCCAATCATGGTCTGAATACACTATTTCAGTATTCATTTAGTAGTAAGTTTAATACAAATATAGTCCATTTGTATTAATTTGAATTTTCTACGACTTAAGAAAGATATAAAAGTGCACGAATTCATGATGGGGTTGTTATTTTTTAGGACGTCTTTAGAAATTTAGGGTATCTAGTTAGAAATCATAAAATAATTATAAAATTAGAAGATATCCCCATGGGTTACTAAAATACAGAAAAAATATTTAACTATAATAGTATTGTTTGGTTGGGCCTTTTAAAAGGTGGAGGTCTAAAGGCGGTTAAAATTCGAGAAAAAAATTACAGAGAGAAGGTTTTGTACCTATATTTTTAGTTGTTAATACGATATTAACATCAAAAATTAATACGATATTTAACTAATTCAGCCACCTCGGCTATTTTGCAGTTAAAAAAAGAGCCTTGGTTACTTTTCATGGCCATCGTAATTCGATACTATTTCGCTCGAACTGATTCATTGCGGTTGAGGAGTCAGCGTGTGAATAGTTATGCGCGAGGTGTCAGGTTCTTAATTAATTACCTTTCAAAAAAGTATCGCTTTGTCGATTTGCGACTGTAATGCGCTTATATCGTCATCATCCTCAACAGCCTTTAATAGTCCACTGCTGTATCTAGGCCTCTCCTAAGTTTTATATCGTGATTAATTTTAATAAGCTGTATTCTTCATTCCCTAATTTTCCACTCTTAGGAGTGGAATTCCTCCCCAATAAAAAAGGATTTTTCAAATTGGTTCACAAATTAAGTTCTAAGATACATACAACCGATCTGAGAATCTCTCGTTTTAAAGGAGTTTAACCGAACCCCCTTTTGATTCGTGTTTTTTGTTGCAACGGGTATGGTCAGCACAACCAGACGATTGAATATACATAGGTAGTTGTATACCACACTTGGGCTGGTTTACCGCCTTTTTTCTAGATCAAATTTAACTAGACGCTACTATTAATATTGTTTTTAGTCTTTTGTACATTAATCGATTCTTATAGAACTCAAACGTCTTCTAAAAATCGTTTTTTATATTGTCATTTAATTTCCTTTTAGCCTTAGGCATAATACATGTATAGAATACTTACTTAACAAAGCCACAACATTTAATTCCATTAACTAATGTCATTTACGTTATTAAGCGTGGGGTATTCATTCATAATTTATGAAAGTCTCTTGATAGAAATTAAAAGTATAAGTTTTAATTTTATATGGTAAATATTCATTACAGCTTTTATAAAATACTCATAACATTCTTGTTTACGCCGTTAGAAGTGACTGCAAAAAATGGGGAGAATTGCCAAGTAGGCTTTATTGCTGCTTGTTTTAGGTTGTAATTAGAAATATCTTCTGCTTGTCTGATAGTAGCAATATGAGTACTACCCTTAATCTCTTTTATGATCTTCCAGTCTTTACCCCACAATTCGTCCACAACAACCAGTTTGTTGAGAATATCTGGATCTCTTTGATTTCAGTTCAGATGTTTCAAATATGACTTTTTGATGTATTGAAGTAGTGTTGTTATAAAAGACTTTAAAAAGAATACAAGACGTCTTTGGTAAGGACTTAACTGTCGAGGTTTTTTTTTTGTAAAGGTGTCCTACTCTGGGGAGGACCCGGACCATGTTATTTCAGGTCCAACAACTGTCGCTACCGGCCATGGAGCGTACTACGGCCGGTAGCGAGAGATCCACTCCGATGACTGCAGTGAGGGCCCGGCGCTGCGCCGCCCATGCGGGGCAGACCGCCAGCGTGTGCTGGGCCGAGTCCTCACTGCAGTCGCAGTGGTGGCAGGCGGGACTCAGTTCCCTCCTAGCGACCGTGTGCAGGTACTTTCCGATGCAACCGTGCCCGGAAAGCACCCGCGTCGCGAAAGGGTCCCGTGCTGCCGCCCTGCCCACTCGGCGATGACCGGCTGGAGAGCCTCCACGGCGGCGAAGCCAGCGCGTGGAGTCTCCAGCCGGAACGACCAACGAGCCATCGTGGCTCGGCGAGCGACTTCGCGCCACTCGCGCACATCCTCGGGCGGAGGGCGAAATCCGCTCTCCGCCCGGTAGTCAGCCACTCGCCGATAAACTTCGGCGAGCACCTCCGCCTCCAAATCCCACGGGGGAGCCCCGGCCAACGCGCACGCCACCTCCGTCGAAACGGTGCGGTAACCGCGTATGGCTCTGACCGCCATTACCCTCTGAGGGCGCCAGAGGCGTACCCTATTCTGGGCGGTCAGAGCCGCCGCCCACACCGGTGCACCGTACAGCGCCATTGACCGGACAACCCCCGTGTACAGCCGTCTTGTCGCGACGCTGGGTCCACCCATATTGGGCAAAAGTCGCCCTAGGGCAGACGCAGCGCCGACCAGCTTTGGAGCAAGCTGTCGGAAGTGCTCGTCGAAGAGCCACCTCCCGTCGAGGATCAGGCCCAGATATTTCATCTGGGCCCGAACCGGTACGAGGACCGAGTTGACCACGATTGAGGCGCCAGGGGGTGGACCACGACGGGGCCCATGAAATAACAGGGCCTCCGTCTTATCTAGGGCCACCCGTAAGCCCAGCGCCTCAATGCGCCCGACCACCAGGGAGACTCCCCCTGTGGCCAGGCGCGCCGCCTCTTGGAAGTTTGCCCCCCGGGCTGTCACGAGGGTATCGTCTGCGTAACAGATTACACCCAGCCCGGGGGGGAAATCGGCGCGAAGGGCCCAGTCGTACCCTATGTTCCACAAGAGGGGTCCAAGAACAGACCCCTGTGGAACACCGCACGACATGGGCCGACTCCTCAAATTACCTTCTCGGTCCTCGTACACGCCGGTACGCTCCTCTAAATAGTCTGCCACCAGCCGCCCCAGGTACTTTGGCACCCCATGATAGTGGAGTGCTTCCCTGATGCAGCTGAATGGCAGACCATTGAATGCGTTGGCGATGTCCAATGACCCCGCCAACAGCACGCCGCCACAGCTCACGGCCTCTTCGGTCACGGCGCTCAGGCGCAACACGGCGTCGACTGTCGAACGCCCCGCCCGAAAACCAAATTGGGCGTCCGACAGATCGGGGCCCACCTCGCAGAGGTGCCGGACGATGCGGGCAGAAAGAACCCTCTCAAACAATTTGCCCGCCTCGTCCAGCAGCACGATGGGCCTATAGGCCGATCCCGTTCAGCGGTCTCTTTCTGGAGCATTACAGCTTCACAGAAAGAGACCACTGCGCCCCAGCCCTCCTCACCCGCCAGCATGGCAGCAATGATTGCTGGTAACTGTCGGGGTTAGGCTCCGGTAACCTTAATTACCGGTTTTCTGTCCATGTAAAGCATTTTCTCAAGCTCTTTTAATTTTACAGATACTTATTATTTGTTTCAACACAATATTGTATACATAACAATAGGAAAACTATAATAGCGTGTACACAATGCACTCCATAACAACAGGGTGTGTACACACCATCCTCGTTTTACATCATTCGAATAAACCCAATTAGGTAAAACAGTACATATTGTGCTTATCGCTGTATCTACGACCTTCATTCGCACTTAATCGATAATGTCTGCCATAAACGTGTATTATTCATAAGGGAATCTGTCGACACGCCTATTTTATTTTTCATTTCTATGACACGAACAAATGCTGGTTTCTAAGTACAGTAACTTTGTTTTTAAAGGGTTATAATGTGAAAGCTTCAACTTCTCTGTTTGCGAATTAATAAATAGGGTACAAGTCCTGTATTCACGGCTAAAGATTTTTCTATTTGCGGATTCGAACAGTATACTAAAAGCTTACGGATTCATTTTTGGTTAGCTTTTGGATTTAAGGTAGCAAAAGATAATAAGTCTGCTGCTTGCGAATACCAATTTGTATCAATGGCAGTTCAGTAACAGGTCAGGTCTTAGTATTGGTTGGTGGTATTGGTCTTACGTAGAACACGAAAAGTGTCAAGCCATTCCGATATATTACGAATACGATATATGTATTCAAATTTAAAAAAGGAAGGAAAACTCACCTGTATCCATACGCCCACTCTAACTTGAGCTTGTTCGGCGGCGGAGGCGCTACTTTTGCTGGGTCCAAACCCTCTTGGTCGCTAGGCCCGTACATCACCACGGGTCTGCCGCGAAGGTACATACGCATAGACCCATCTTCCTCGTTGTATTGGCATGTGTGTGTGCTGTAACATTAATATGTCAGATTATCTGTACATATTTAGATAGAACTTTCAAGCTTTCATATTTCCCGATGTAAAAATTATGTACATACACGGGAACTAACGCAATCACAGAACTGGAATGTGACCTCTAAATTGCGTGACGTGACTAAATGTATGACTGGTCATGGAACAAAGTGACTGACAGATCAGAATTATTGCGTTAATTCCTGTGTCATATATTTTTGTTGACGTTAAGAGCCCTAATGAAGGGTTAAAGTAAAAAAGAAACACAAAACATCACAAACCATTCTAAAACTCCATGTTAAACAATACAAATATATGTTTAATAAATAGCAGATTATGTTAGTAAATGCTTTTGCAATGCAATCCGAATGCCCATGCCCCAATGATAGAGTGGATGATGGATACGGTTCGATATCCCGTTGGTGAACGAGCGTCATAATATCATTTAACTGTCATAAATATTTTTTTGACACAGTACTTTTTTTTAGAGTGTAGCGCTGAAGTAGGTATTATATTTCCTACACCATCTTGATTGGTCTTTATGTAGTGTTGTTAGGTATGAAATATAAGAATAAGTATATAAATACATTATTACAGATCTCATGATTTCGATGAATCAAAAAATACATATTTTGATAAAATTAAGTAGATAAGTGGTAATAAATTATATTATTCTTTTGTTTATTTAATATTATTTTTTTACAATTATTCTGTTGTTACTGTTTTAATACTTAATTATTTTGATGAATTAATTAATAAAATTAATTTATAAAAATATCTAAGTAAAAATGAGAATATAAAATCATATAGGTAATAAAAAAACGATTTCCATTAATTCCTGTATAAATACATATTTATATATTTAATATTGTAGTTTATTGTTGTGTATTATTGTAGTTAAGATATAAAAAATATCAGATGGCCAAATTTAGCCCAGGTTATTTTTCTATTTTGAATAGCAAACATTAATAAAGCAAAATGTACAAATTGTTAAAAGCAAAGGCACCAAAAGCATGACAGATATTAGGAGTTTTTAAAAACCTCAACATAAAACCAAAAAGTTCTCCCAAGCAACTTACATCGGGGTGAACGACATTGTTACCGCCAAGATGCGTTTAGCATCTGCCCACAATAAAAAAAAAATTAGCAGATTATAGTACCACCCGCGCAGTAAGCCACCGACAATCCAACTAGCCGATAGAAATAAATCTAAAATAAAAATAATTTGTCCTTTTATAACAAAAAATGATCATTAAGCAGAGCGATAACATCAAATTTGACATAATTGTGAGTTCTTGTTTCTATACAAAATGTTAGAGTGTACACTATATACATACACGATTATTATCTTGTTTGTATACGATAAACTTGTTTAATGACTAGTATATCAAACAGAAATTTTATATGAACATTCATTAAAATAATGTTATAACCAAATAGTATAAGGGACTAACGGTATACGGTGCTCTAAATAAGTTATAAATTTTGAAACGAAGCAAAAATTTTACCCTTGCTCCATGGCGCCAAAACGATTACGCAAAACTATTTAATTTATCTCAAATAAGGCAAAGGAAACACAACGGCACACTTTTTTTTTTAAACTGGTATTCGATGCACAGAAACGTAGATTCATACAGCCGGCCGGCGAGAGTAAACTCGGCTGACTGCGTGATGTAAGCAATCACCGGACCATGAAGTAAGTTCAAAACACTTATAGAGGATAAAACACTACGCATAAATACACCGCTGGTTTTCCTTGAACGACTTTTGTCGGTAATGACTTGAACACCAGCAATGTACGCCACTATTTTGATGATAGTATATTTAATGAGTCATTCTCATAATTTTGACATACGTAATCACTATTTTCCAGGTACCACTGTAGTCCACACGGGGCGGGGGTCGTCTACTTGTCTGTAGATGACCCGAGGTATGTCGGGGCACCAGGGCCTTCCTTTCTAGGGTATACCTGGTTCCCCGGCTATTAGTACCCGGCGAAGGCGTGCGGTTTTAGTCGGTTCGAGTCCGACATGCCACCGACAGGTGGTATCCGAGGGGATTTCCGCACGGAAAAAAAAAAAAAAAAAAAAAAAAAAAAGGTACCACTGTAGTGTACCAGGAATTTCCTTTTTAGGTTACACCTGGTTCAATGGGAAGTGGTGCCCGAGACAGCGTGCGGTTTTTGGTCGGTTCGAGTCCGACATAACCATCCCACCGGTGGGTGGTATCCGAGGGGATGGGGAAAAAAAAGATGGCATTGTAGTCTTAATAGTAAAGAGAGGTCATGTCAATGTAAAGAGCTAAGAATAAATTATTCGAACAGTTAAAGTGCTAAAGTTTAAATGTCTGTTTGTTCTCAATTACTCCATTCACGGCTGAACGGAATTTGTTGAAACTTGGCAAAAAGATTAAAAGTCTGGAATAAAACTAAGGCTAGTTTTTATCCTGGACAGTTAATTGCCACAATCAATATTGTGGTAAACCGCAGACAAAACTTATTACGAAAATAACACAAGAAAGTTGATACGAAAAAGCACTCTTTCATAGCTGAACCAATATGTGCTTACATGTCTATTGTGTAACTATATTTATCACGAAACTAAACTAAATGTAACAAATAATCAGCTTTATCTAGATTTATACCTAATGTTTTATGAGGAATTGAGGATAATAGTCGACAGATTAACTTAAAGTCACAGACAAATACATTAGTTGGTAGATTATATTTACATTATTCGAAGCTAAAAGAATTATTAGGTTCTATTGGGCATCGTTAAAAGTACCCTGCACTCGGAGAAATTCACATACACGATGTCAATTTCGTGGCAACAGGCGTTTTACCCCGTTTTTTATTATTTCTCTGCCTACCCCGTAGTGGAATGAGACATGAGTGTGCGTATGTGTATGTTTGAACTTACGAATATCTATGTTCCTCGTTGTATTTGAGAATAAATGGAAACTAAAATTATCGACTGCTTATCAATAGGCTTTACTGTTTATTGAAACAGTTACATTATTCAAATTACTTCTAGCCCGCATCAACTGTTTACACAATATTTAAACACTAAAGTTAATTACATAGAAAATCGATCGAAGTGAGTGCAATAGGAGAGGCCTACGTCCAGCAGTGGACTGCGATAGGCTGATGATGATGAAATCCATGTTAGCCCTACTTTTATGGGGAATGTTTCCAGAGTCCTAGATCCAGGAACTAATCCCTAAGATCATGTTAGGATGCAGCCATAAGGGCTCATTTGAAAGCCAGAAGTCGTCAATTCACTTCTGCCAAGTTATAAGTTGAGGATGGACTAAGGCACAGTGTGGTTATTTTATTTTTTGTTTCTTTTTTTAAATTCAACTATTGTACCAGGAAATATTTCAAGGAGAAAAAACATCCAGACTCAAATCAACAGTTTATTTCTTATACAAGTAAATTATTCAATTGCAGGATTGTGCCCGACGGGGTCCATAATTCTTACCTATTTTAAAGCCTACCACCTGAAAATTTACATTATGGAATACAATAAATTGAATGGAATTGAAATGAGCTTACAAGAAGACAATTCATCAGGCCACAGAGTAACTGCTGTAAAGAGAGGTTTCCCTACTAAATTGATTAGAATCAGTTTTAATTTCCAACGGTGACAAATAAGTACATCACTATATTAAGGTATAATCTAAAGGTATTTGCTGACAAATTAGTTTTGACGAACACAATAGTGGTTGGAAATATTCGCATTTATCAGTATCAATTTGTTGGCTGACAGTGAATAAAACTGATGGTTTTTACTGTAGCTACCTACTCACATCTATTTATTTAGTATACAGCTTTAGCGAGGGTCTTCGCAGATGATAATTTACTAACTGAGGTTAATCACAACAGATTAGTAGGGGATAGGCCGCAATAGTTCTGATCCCAAATTAGGACAATTGTCCTGAACGTAGGTTTCACATAGAAAGTTTTTGGTTCTATTAGAGCGCCATAAGACGTATTCGTATTTTGTCTTAGATAGTTCTAATAGAAGAATATGGATAGACAAAATTATCCCGGTATCGCTCATACCATGATCATTCTGTGAACTAGTAAGGTAATGTCAATTGGGTTTTCCTCTCTCTTATTTTGAGAGCTTATGAGATCGGGAATAATGATGGCGATTTGAAGGGGATACCTGCCACCGTTTCGCAAGTGATTTTAGGACCGTTAATTAATAATTCGTTAATAATTCTTTTAAGTTAAAAGGAGTTAAAAGAACTTATTAACCTAATAATTTCATTATATCTGTATCAATATTAAATTTTTTATGGCTGTAATACGTCATTTACACCCCGAGATTTTTGAACTAAAGATATTAGGATATTTCTCAATAAGTCTAAACGGACTTAGATGTTTCACAGCCCTAGATGTTATAGCCATAGGTAGTGTCCATTAAGTATAATCAGATGCGCAGGCGTGGGTGTGTTACACAATATACGGCAAATGTCCTCTACGGTCAGTGCAGCCGGTAATCACTGAATTTATGCTAATACGTTATTGAGGTGCATATAATGTGTTTCAGTAAAGGATTCCTAATTGGTGAGTGACCATTAGAAGTTGGTACATATACCAATAAATTCTTACTAAGGCTAGTAATTTACCTGGAATACTATTAGATGATTATTTCTTACATTAGATTTCACAATTTGTCCTCATGAATAATAATAATTTACTATTGGTAATTTCTGTGTGTTCTTAAACTTGTTTCTAACACAAGCAAGACTTGAAGTAGGTAACTGTTATGTTTAAAAACGATTAAATTTTCCAGTAATTACGTAAGTGTGACCAAACCAATTATTGTACAGTAATGTACTAAACAGTACAGTAATGTAAATATTGTTAAGTAATGGCTGCTCGAGTTTTAATTAGTATTATCTTGCACCATTGCTTACTAGGCAACTAAAAACTTTACTATATAAGTATTGTTCATCATCATCAGCATCAACAGCCTTTAATAGTCCACTGCTGGACTTAGGCCACTCCATAGAAAGGTGGTTTTGGCCTACTATACCACGCTGGCCAGACGGGTTGGTAATTAGTTTAAGCTTTGTTCAATTCGGTTGAAGAATGTCTCACTTTAAAAGTTTTTGCGCTTTAAGTGACTACCTCGTAACTAAGGGTCATAGGTGCGTTGCGTTGCCGTCCTTTGAGCAAGAATCAGGGGATTTTGGCTCCGGTAACCTTACTCGGTGAGAAGCAACTCTTACTCAGGTCGATCTATCCCATTCCTGACGAAACATGGGTCTCATTGCACGCTATACAAAAGTACTTCAAATGTAAGCCGCCACTTTGGGCGTAATTCTAAAAGTGGTGTTTTTTCTGTACTGTTGTCTAGTGTATATTAACAAAATATACAAGTCGTAATAGGAAGTACTTTATTACTACTTTTTTATCATTTACCTAAGGTTTAAGCAAGACTGCAAGGCCATTTTGATGCCGAGACCCATTTCAAGAAAAACTTACAATCTAAATATGGATTTAAAATAAAAAAGCCAATTAAGAGTCTTCGCATTTAAAATACAATTATTGTAGTTTAAAAAGTCAGTAAAAATTATCTATTGAATTTGTATACTAAGTGTATTGTAGTAATTAAAGTACGTACACACTCATAGACACACACACACACACACACACACATATAATACATACATTCGTATTTATACTATAATTCAGTATGTATAGGTTATGTTATGTAAAAGAAATGTGTTACGAAAAGCCTATTTTTTTTTATAATATAGGGGGCAAACGTGCAGACGGGGCACCTGATAGAACGCCTGCAACCCAGGAGTCACAAGCGGCTCTTGAACGTTCATGTATATGAAAAGACTACATAAATATAATAGTCCACTGCTGTACATAAGCCTCTCCTTCTTTCTAAGGAGAGGCTTATGTCCAGCAGTGGACTATTAAAGGCTGTTGATGTGATGTGATATAAATATACGCCTGCCAAATATACGCTGCATATTCAAAAGTTTTCGAAAGACAAGCATGGTTGCATATGTACATATTATTATACATATATATATACTAGCTATTATATATATATATATTATATATATTAAACCTCCTTTCTAAGGGGAGGCCTATGTCCAGCAGTGGACTATTAAAGGCTGTTGATGATATATACTAGCTGAGACCCGCGGTGTTACCCGCGTTTGTTGTTATAACCGCGGGCAACGCCGCGGGGCGAAGCTAGTCTAAAAAAAGTAGCCTTAGTTACTCCTTATGTCATCAGCTATCTGCCAGTGAAAGTCCCGTCGAAATCGGTCCATCCGTTCCAGAGATTACCAGGAACAAACAGACAGACAGACAGACAAAAATTGTAAAAAATGATATTTTGGCATATGTAACGTGTAAACATACATATGCATTTAGTAAAAAGCGGTTAATTTAATATTACAAACAGACACTCCAATTTTATTTATTTGTATAGATATTTATATTTTTACACGCTGTTATTATAAGCTAATAGGTACACTGAGCTCCATCTAGCGATAGCAAACTGAACTTATTTAATACCGATACTGACCGTAAAGGTATATTTTAGCATACATTACAACAGGCTCCAAAATAAAGTTTTATTGAAACGTGCTATTATTAACTAACATTCGTATTAGTAGATAAGAAACTCATACGTGATTTATGAAATGTCGCGAGTTTTCTTAAACTGCTACTAGATGGCACCGGCGTCCGTTAAAAATAGCTATAATAATACATTAGATTTCGATATAATAAACAGACAATATAAAAAACGCTCACCTCATCTAAAGGATTATTAAATGATCTTTTAAAGTTTAATTATAAAAACTAAGAAATGCATGTGTATATACATAATTTATATAAGTAGGCAGTATTGAATAATTCCACTACATATTTACCAATAGGAACTTACTACTAAACTTAGAATTCATCTTACAAGAACCCTATTAATACGTATCTACTCTGTAACTCCTGTACGACCTTACGAACATTTATTACTTATATATTTAATATATTTCAAACCCATGTTAGTAGTTTCAAACAACCACAGATCACTCAAAACTGTTATTTGGTCCCATCACCACGCCTCTACCCCATTACACCATGTAATCACTTACCCATGTTTCAATATCGGTCCATTTTGTGACGGCTTAGAATATAGGTTTAGCAATGACTTTGTTGTTGTGAATCTAAAGAAGAGCACAAAAACAATTAGACGATACAAGAAAATAAATTTAGCAAGAAAAACAAAAATCTAAAAAAGCTGTTGCGAGAAAATACAGTGCCTAAATAAAAGAAAGCATTTACGCGACTGAAAATGAAATTATAATGATAAAAATTAAAGAACTTCAGGGACACAGTTGGTACCCTGTCCCTAGGTGTAGATTTTACCAAGAAGTAAAATATACACATTCAGCTAATGTATTTAATGAGAGACAGGTGCAAATATTTGAGGAAAGAAGTTCACCGTGTAATACACGTAGATTACACGGTGAACCTGGGTCCTCAAACTCATATACCTTATACCAAACTGTCGCAAGTCAGTGAGCCTTAACCTGAGCCTCTCAAATAACTTATGTATAAAAACATTAGAGCTATTTATCATAGGCTTTGAAATTAGCAATTTTATGACAAATACAACTATTACTGATATTTTTCTACTCCTTGGATATTGTGCCAATTTTACTTCATTATGAGTGTTCGTAACTCGCGATAGTACGTATGTTAACTCAAATCTCGTAAACTCTTGTTTACAATTCATTCTTTGACGATTTATTGTAATGAGCTTACTCGGCGCAGAACTGCACAATGCTTGGGTCATTTATTTGTGCTACATGTAAGAATGCATATTGGCAGTCTGAATACTAAACATCTTTTTATGTAAGTAATACCTAACATCTACATATTGCAAAAGGAAAATATTTTACACGACTCACATTGAACGCAAATTTACATATTACGACATATACCTGTCAGTGTAAGACGATTTTCATTCAATTCCATACATTAGAATTATTTACGAACGAACGTTTAGCTGATAGGTCACATCTGTTTGTTATTAAGCCAGGTTTTGTTTATCTCGTAATTACTTACACTGTTCGAGACCTGACTGACAGTAAATATATAGATAATTACGTGTAAGTATGTGAAATTCATCAAGTTTGTGAACCTCTTCAGGACCTCTTACGGCACAAGTGTTATTGGAAGCCTAGTCTAACTCTAAAACGGCTAGTTTCAAAGCTTATTATTAATCAAACTCACAACAAGCAGTCACATCTAGCCACTAATTTGCACTTATATCACACTAACCATTAACCGTCGGTTGCTAAACTACCCGAATAGGTAAAATCTACGTTAAATCTGAAGATTACAGAAATTGGAGCTTGTTGGAATAATAATAATTAACTTTGTTTCACTCATAAGGTGCAGTAGGTTAGGGAACGATCAAAGTCAGCCTGACTTAGCAATTTCTTTTTTATTTTACTTAGATTACTGCTCCGCTCCTAAGAGATGTAGCGTGATGTTACATTGCCTCGAACTTCCTTCAATTTTCTATCTAACTTCACCATTTCTGGAACAACTTCGTGTTATGAATAGGGAATATGCACGTGACACCAAAATGGACAAAATATTTTTATTTGTAATTTTTATTGCTAAAAAAAGATACCCATACTATTATTTTTGAAATTTATTATAATTTAATAGTGAAATTTAATCATCAAAAATTGGCTTTTTTAAGATTCCCTCGCAAATTTCTAAAACGCAACGCTATTGGTTGAATAAAACGTGACGTCAACCTACACTGTCAAGAGTGTCAACAAGTTGTGTGTATTTGTAATATTTGGTTTCTGGTGATTATTTGTTTCATTTTAAGTTAATAACTAATACGTTTTCAGTGTTAAATTATTAAATTCCCGTGTAGAAAGACAACACAATGACTGAATATACTTTGTCAGGTGCAGTTTTGATATTATTTGGGCACAAAGGAACGGCACAATATTTATAATATGTTTTTATTGGCTTTCCATGGTAATAAGTTAATTTTTATCACTCACTTTTTTAACTTTCAGAAACTTTGTGAACTTCACTCCGTTGTTGACATTGAATTCGTCTGAAAGTGTAATCTGACGTCACAAAAAAGCGCGCCAAAATGGACGTGTTCAAATTGCCCCAAAATGATAGTGATTTCCATAAATTTTTTTTTTGCTTAACCGTTTATATTTCGGATGTGTTACATTTATTTTTGGTAATGTAATAACTAGTAGAATCGTTAAAAAAAATGAAAAAAATACATGCATATTCCCTATTCTCGGTTACACAATTCACTGGGCCTTTTTATACACTGTCATAAAAACAAGATGAAAAATCACAACTAAGCGAAGATCATCACTCAGATGTCGCGATGGACTACAAAATGAACAATCAGTACTATTTGTGTATTCAAATATGGATTTATTGGCAATAGTGTGAAGTCCTTCCTTCCACCTTTCCTCGTACAGATTGAGTTCATTTATAAACACTTACGATTTCTTTTTAATATTTGCAGTAGTCTTTGTGCTTGATGCGTTTATCGCTTTAGAAATGAGGATACTCCTTATACGTATCTATCATTACTAACGTGACTGCTTTTTGTAGCTAAGATGGCGTTGAACTCCATTCAGCACGACTTCAGACTTACAATGGTTCACGGTCTAGCTGAATGTGTTCAACAATTAACCAATAATGTTGTTCACTAACCTGCTGGTAGCTATAAGCCCTTGCGCGTTGAAGTCGCCCGTGGAGTTCCACCTTTTCGTCAGGTTGTTTGTCCCCGGAGACGGGCTCTGGTTACTGGACGTAGAGTTGTTTCGTGATCTATACATATGAGCTAGTGACTACGTACTGGCTAATAAGGCTAATTACTAGCTTAGGGCACACACAAGCAAAGCTAAATTCAATTTTTTATTTTAAAACAGTTTTTAAGTTCAAGTTATTAAAAATATGGGTATAAAGATAAGTGACTTGTCATTAACTATTTGGAACACACAGATTAACCTATGTATATACTTAAGCTATTATATATATTTAAAAAGTTCTTAATAATTTCCTGATCTTAAGGGATCCGTTTATGAATGTCATTCCATATTTATTACTAAATTTGGTAATCAAAGTTTAATATAGTCAATTAAGCAAGTTTTTTTTGCAAAACAGATATCTCTAATAAAAATAGTTTTACGAGTATTATTACCTAAAAAAAAAATCATCATGGCCACAGGACAATACGAATCGATCAAGAAGAAACATTGATATATGTAACCTTATACTGAATAAATTATGAAATACTATAAAATAACGCTCAAAAACGATTTTTTTCATTTCATTTCATTTCCTTTCATTCATTTCATTTAGTAAGAGAACTTAATTTCCATTCTTCTTAATTGTACGTCTGTTATATTAAACTGTTACGTTTACTATTGTTGTTTTCGTGTTGATTTGCCATATACGTGGACATCAGAAGTATTCTTGTTTACATGCATGCATAACAACAAAACAGGATAGCACCTATTTGTACCAGATATTTTATTACAATAACCAGTTTATTTAGTATACTCTTGAAGATAAATTCACCACTATTCTACCGGTACTGTTTTATCTATTGTAGGTATAACAATATATTTCTTGGTTCCTATGATAATAATATTCTAATATATTCACACGACGCCATCTAGTCCCAAACTAAGCAGAGCTTGTACTATGGCTACTAGACAACTGATATAAATACATACTACATACATACTTTGTTTTGTAAATACATACAGATTATACATAAAAGCACCCAGACCAATTCAAACATTAAATGTTCACGCACACAAATGTTTGACTTGAGCGGGAATCGAACCCACGACGTTCGGAACAGCAGTCCGTTACTCAAACCACTACGCCATCCAGTTCTATCACAAAAGCAGACATAGAACAAGAGTTATTTTGACATAATAGTAACAGATGTATTTCGTATTCGTATGTTTCAGCAACATTGAAAGTTATTACTCGAATAATTTGATCGAACGAGCTCACGCCAAGATCCAGAAGATAGGCCACAGTGCTCACCAGACTGATATGCCGTAACCGTAAAGTAATTGTATCGTATCCGTTAAGGTCTACGTATCACCATTACCGAAGTTGTCGTTAGAACACTGTACTCTCCAGTAAGTGCGTTCCGGTGCGCGAAGCCTCCAACCATGGTTTTGTCAATCGTTCAAAGCGTGGGATTCCACCACGTCGTTTTGTTACGCGCCATACTAGTGCCGAAATGTATTTATTCTGATATTCGACGAAACCATTAAGGGCTGTTACTAAAATTATTAGTTTTTTACAACAATCATTTAAACTGTCTTAGCTATTGGTATATAAAAATAACTTTTTGTTTTATATTCGATTCGGTTCGATTTCCGCTCAAGTCAAACATTTGTGTGCATGAACATTTAATGTTTGATTTGGTCTGGGTGTTTCTATGTATAATATGTATGTATTTACAAAAAAAAGTATATATGTATTTATATCAGTTGTCTAGTACCCATAGTACAAGCTCTGCTTAGTATGGGACCAGATGGCGTTGTGTGAATGTAGGAAAATATATTATATTATTATATATATTTTATCTGTTATAGTATTGGAAAATCCAAACATACCTTTAAGCAGTGACATGTTTTCAAAAATATAACGAATACAGAGATACATCATCATCATCATCAATACAGGGATAGGTAGACCCTAAACCTAATCCCTTGCACCCTTCTGATTATTTAGTAGAGATTGTGGCTAGTAGAAGGGGTTTACCTGTAGTGATGTTGGGTGTGAGCGGTGTGCGCGTGCGGCAGGTGCGCGGGCGCAGGCGTGGCACGTGGGGATGGCGACGGCGCAGGAGACAGCGACGAGGATGATGCGGGCGAGTCCGACTGCAGCGACCCTGTCGACTGGTGCTGCGGACCACGCCTATGGACACACAATTACAGTATTGAATGAAACTAAATAATATTCCTCAAACAGGTTAAAGCAAGATTTAGTGACTAGATGTCAGATTAAAGCTATGAAGGTTTCGGGAAGAGGGAATGACTAAAACAATTTATAAGCCTCCTACAAATGGATAAGTCCGCGTAGGACCCATAACCTATGACGTATATTGACCAAATTAGCACTATACTGGAAAAAGGGCCTTGTAAAACCTTTAACCGGTGAGCATTTCAAAGGTTTGATGAATGTGTAAGAGTCGAGTCGTAAGAGAGAATCTTGGCAAATGGCGTACTGTGTCTCTGTCTTCTCCGGACGGGAATAAAACATTGAATATATGAATGTCATACTCCTTAGATCTGATCGATTGTTCGAAAATATGATTATATTTTAAGACACCGTTAGCCACCGAAAATGAGTCTAAATAATGGACAAAATAAAACATATACAAGTTCAAACACACAATAACTGTAAGGAGAAATAGTAAAATAAAATGACATTCGTGTTCAAGATCCGTGACTGGTATGCACTAGTAATATGTTCACCGAATTGTAGAACAACATTTACAATAATCAGTTCATTACTCTTGAGGCTATGAAGTCTTTTAATATAACAAAAACACAATGTCGCCTATCCAAATTTTCTTTATATGGTATGGATAAGCTAGCAAATGGGTCACTATGTATGTGCCGTCATGGTAAGTAACTATAACAGCCCATGGGCTCTTTAACTAAGAGTCACAAATTTGTTGACGGCTTTTGAGCTCCTTCCTCATATATTTTTCCACATAAGACAACTCCTGCACTAGGAACAAATCCTGTGTCGCGGGTGACTTAACAAACATACATGAAACGGACACAAAGAACACCCAGACTCAGAACAACAATTTGTGGATCACACAAAGTGTCGTACCATGTGGGGATCGGACTCACAACACTCAGCGTAATAGTAAGCGGCGTGGCGACCGCTTAAACCACTACGCCATCCGTGCAGTCAATAATTAGTGGCAAAAACTGTCTTGAAAGCGCACTGTGGTGAAGTGCGAATTATCCAAGTGATGGGGATGAAAATTTGCCGTGAGGGACGATGGCGGAAAGTTGCGGCCGCTTTTAGTGCGAACAATTCCTCGGCGCACTCTCCATGATATATACGATAGAGAATGCAGAGTAAAGCTATATCTCTACGTGAAGCAAAGGTGTCAAGCCGAATGGAGATCTTTTTTCTATCGACGATTCGAGTCGCTCTTCGTTGGATGCGGTCTAGGGGGAGAAGCTGGTACTGGGCTGACCCGGCATAAAGATGAGAACATTATTCAGTATGCGGCCGGACTTGCGCCGTGGAATCACGCTGGTCGACTAGCCCATGTTTGCTGAAGCATTGCTCTCTCACGGTAGTAAAATACAGATAAGAAGCCAAAAGGCCAGTAGAAATCTGCCAAGGTCCATCATCTCCTTTATAGTCAGGTATTTAACAATTTAAAGGTCTTTGAGATAATCTACACTCAAAAATATAAAATATAATAACCTTTGAGGTAATGAGGAAGTGCTTGATCCATAGCTGGACGTCCTCTTAGCAGTTTCACGGTATGAAGGCTGCCGCAATCGAAGTTCCCTCGTAGGTGTACCGGTGGAACCTGAAATAAAGGTAAACTTTGATAAGAAAAATCAGATATGCTATAAAATAATGTAAGTTTTGGTACAGACGAAGCGTGAAAGACAACCGAGTGTCGAGTGCAATAGTGTTGTGTGACATCTTCTATATCAACTTAAACATTATAATGTGTTTACGCTGTGTCGTTGTCGCGCCGAACTGTGAACAGTTCTTAGCCTATAAACAATTTCAATATAAACAATTTGGCCGTGCTGTCGCTTAAAGTTTTACGTAGTGTTCCGGCACTATACATCACACGGACACTACAGCATCTAACATTGACAGTACCTCTCGACGAAGACTTGTTTCTGTCAGTAGTACGAGGCGAGACCGTGGCGATTCTTTATGTTGTACTGTTTACATAATGTGACGGGTATCTCTAGAATATTTTAGAAGACACAAAGAATTTTTATTTTGATAAAGAATATGTTGATTATAAGTCAAAATTATCACCATTTCTATGTACAACAAAATTTTAAATGCTAGAACGTATGGATTACTACGAAAACTAATTTAATTACTACAGCAATAAGTGATGACCTACTATTTTATAATAGTAAATAGTTTAATAATACACGGGCCTGTTGGTGGTTAGTGATCGTAACCGCTAAGCCAGAGGTCGTGGGTTGGATTCCCACCCAGGACAAATAATTGTATGATGGGCAGGATCATTTGTTATGTATCTGGGTGTAATTTATCTACGAAATATATGTGCTTAAAGTATTTAAGTATGTTTATCATTTATCATGTGAAATGTGTGAGGTTATTATTATTGTTTTAGACAATGGGACTCCTTGATAGTAATTTGTTGTATGATATATACATTCTTTATCAGCTGTGAAACGTGATCAAATCAATTCTATTTTATTTGTTTATCTCAGTAATATTGTTGGCATTGATAGTAATTTGGCACTCTTTCATGCAAAACGATTCAACGAGAGATTCGACTAAATGAATCAAAACTTTTTTTTTTAAAGGTCTACTAGCAACCGAAATTACTAGTATTCCCGTTAACCCTTCCCGCTAAGCTAAATTGCTTGTGTTAAGAGTGGGTTCACGTCGGTAGTGTACTGGTCAGGATTTGAACCCACGACCTCTTGATCGCAAGTCCAACGGCTTAATCACTAGGCCACCGCCGCTTATTTAACTTGTTTCTGTGAGAAAATTTCAATGAAATAGCTTCTCATGAACAAATAAGCCATAAAAGAGATGAGACATCCGATTCGATTAGATTCGAGTTTAATTGCTTAATTTATTTACATAGTGACCAACAACTTCCGACATGGTGGATATACAGCTACGGGATTCCACTCAGGCTCTTTTTTAATCCACATACATGAAAAGACACACAGGTAAAAGAAATGAACAAAAAAACGTTTTATTTGCAAAAGGAAACGTTCCAGCATCCTGGCTGTTCAGCCAGAGGGCAGATGATTTGATTCTCACGTGATTTATTGTGTCTGGGCTTAATTTATCTCATCATCATCTGCCTACCCTTTTCCCAATTTTATTTAGGGTCGGCGCAGTATGTATTATTTTTCCATTCTACTCTGTCATGCGTCATCTCACTGTTTACTCCCTTCCTAGCCATATCCTCACTGACGCAGTCCATCCACCTCTTCTTCGGTCTGCCTCTTCTCTTGTACCCTTCAACTCTCATACCTAAAACTTTCTTCGCCAACTTTTTTTGTTTTTTTTTTTGTTTAAAAAAGACAACGCCCGCATTAGGAATAAATCCTGTGTCGCGGGGGACTTTACAAACATACATGAAACGGACACAAAGAACACCCAGACTCAGAACAACAATTTGTGGATCACACAAAGTGTCGTCCCATGTGGGGTTTGAACCCACAACACTCGGCGTAGTAGGAAGCGGCGTGGCGACCGCTTAAACCACTACGCCATCCGTGCAGTCAGTCCTTTTCCTCATTTATCTATAATATGTTTATATTTAGAAATATATAGGTATATTTATCAGTAGTCTGGTTATCATAGCACAGGCTCTGACTAGTTTGTGATCAGACGGCCGTATGTTTGATGTTGATTTGTAACAGATTTTAACATCTTTTTTCTCGCTATCCTGTAACCTGTTTGAGTGATTTAGTGAAAAGGGACGAAAGTGTGTAACAGGAAGCGGGGAAAGTGCTATTTGATTTGACCAATGAGCGGTCGCGGGCGCTCGCTCGGCTGTTAGATGTGAGATCATAGTGGTTACCTTGCCGGTTCCTACTGCGCGTTCCTACTGTTGTGGGTTTGATCCCCGATCAAATTATTTTTCTAAGTCTGGGTGTTCTTTTGTCCGTTTCATGTATGTTTTTAAAGTCCCCGAGACATAGTATATATTATTAATGTGAGAGTTGTCTTTTAAAAAAGAAATAAAAATGCACGACTCGTTCTTTTGATGTTTGTTTAATCATCATCATCATCAAATTGCAACTCTCATCCCAATTTTATTTGGGGACGGCGCTGCGGGTAACATTACAAATGCTAAGGTCGGGGATATCGTAGGCGCTGCAAACGGCCGGGGTCCTGTTCTGGTAGACCGTCCTGTGATAGGACAGACAGGGACACCAATTGACTATCTGTTTTTGTTTTATTTGTTTATACCTATAAGAAATAGTACTAACCTACCACAATTATGTATCGTACGGCTTAAAAAGCAAGAGTTTTAAGCAGGCGAGATATAATAATAAATTTAAAGCACCAAAATAAACAAACGCAATTGTTAGTATAAAACATTAATCATTTTATTATTTTTATTACAACATACGATTTATATTCTATATCATATGAGTATTACACGGCCGTAACGTTATGTGCCGTCGACGTGGTTTAAAAAAAGGTAATTAAATTAACATTTAACTGTATAAATTAACAAAAAATAACATAAATATAAAATGCGTACTATATATATTATGTATATTAGTATCATACTAGTTGGTAATCGCGATTTCGTTCGCGTGGGAATTTGAATTGAAAATGTTTGTTCAATTTGCGGAATTCATGAAAAATAAATGGTTTAGTGCGGTACGCAACTGCATTCCATGTGGCCTCGGGTTCGATTCGACCGGGCATCGAACCCGAGGCGGTTTTTCTGAGAGGAAAAATGCCCTAAGTTACTCCTTATATAAACCTGGTGGTATAATATTATCAAAATAAGTCCAGCCGTTTTGAAGTTTTGAAAAAAATAAAATGGTTTTTAGCTATGAATATCGTGCAAATAACCAAGGGAGTATAAATAACCTATTATTTTGACATTACAAACGGACACTTCAGTTTTATTTGTTTATATAAATATTCATGGTTTACTTCTAATGCAAATTACGCGATCTACATTATCAGACTTATTACTATGTTACGGGAGGCAGAAGGCAGAAGCCTGTATCTTCTCTTTACCGTCATATGTAATCACTAGCTGACCCGCGCAACTTCGTCTGCGTCTCTCAATAGTAATAAATTTTCTCCGTTTTTAAAACATTTCTCATTGGTGCTCCGCTCCTATTGGTCTTAGCGTGATGATATATAGCCTATAGCCTTCCTCGATAAGTGGGCTATCTAACATTGAAAGAATTTTTCAAATCGGACCAGTGGTTCCTGAGATTAGCGCGATCAAACAAACAAACAAACAAACTCTTCAGCTTTATAATATTAAGTATAGATTCGTAGAAAGTATTTGACACGTGAATAAATTATCAATGCATCTATGCTGGCGTCCATAAAAATATGGAAAAAACACTTATAATTACTAAATAGGAATATGAACGTAAAAGTTAAATAATTTTATGTTGAGTTAATACTCAACATAAAATTATTTAACTTTTACGTCACCTTTTTATTTATTTATTTCAAACTTTATGCACTTTTGTACTTTGGTGGACTTAATGCCCAAGGTATTCTCTTCCACGCAACCTTTGGGTGGTGTAGAAATCTTGCAAGGTAGGTGCACAGGGGTTACATATTATGACATGTAATCAACGGTTCACTACATACATAAACTTATACACACACACAAACACATATATATATATATATATATATAAAAAACTAAATAAAAAATACTTTTGATATTGAAGGCTACACAAGTGTCTTCAAGGAATTTGAGGTTGAATTATTTTTTTCGCGGGAGAGCGGTTTTTGGTCGGTTGGAGTCGGACATAACCATCCTAGGCTTTAAATAGCATAATTTTAACTGTGCCAGTACATCGTGCTAATATCATAAAGCTGGAGAATTTGTTTGTGTTAGGATGAACGCGGGAATTTCAGGAACTACTGATTCAAATTGAAAAGTTCTTTGAATCTTGGATAGCCCATTTATCGAGAAAGGCTGATTTATCATTAATAATGGGACATGGGATACAAAAAATTAAATAGGGTATATAACATCACGCTACGACCAATAGGAGCTGAACATCAATGAAAAATGTTGCAAAAACGGGGAAAAACATATTCCTATTGAGAGACCCAGAAGTTACCAATAAGATAGTGAACAATATGCGTTCAAAACAATGTCTTGATAACAGTCGTGAGGACAATTTTAAATTATGCTTATTATTAAAGCTTTATCTTAATGAGTGGTATGATAAATTACTGCCTCTATAGATTATTTTAATTGCTCATAAATGGGCTGCAGTACAAACACACCCTGTTATTAGGGAACTTACTTACACTACGTGACACATTGGACTAGGGAGAACATATCATATAAAAATATGGCAAACACTGTATTATTAAAGACAAATGTAGTTTCTTTTTAAGCTCTCCGTTTGCAAAAAAAAAAGGTTTAAAACCATATTTATGTGTTACGTGAAAACTACAAGAGAGGTGGGGTTAAGGTAGATACTGCGAGTGGTCACCGAAGGGGGAGAAGGGACATAAAATATAAAAAATATGTCACGTAGTATGTGTACATTCCCTTAAACCTTCGTACACGTTTTAATAATTTAATACAAACTTACCGAATAGTGAAAGGATACAAGATTTCGTTATTATTGACATATACTGTTCTATATGTCGTAAGACCTTATTAACAAGCGGGTTAAAGTATTTACTACCGTGAGTAAGCAATCACATTTGATACATTTCATAACGTAAGTACTGATGAGCATATTATATGCATATATATGCTAATATTATAAAGTTGAAGAGTTTGTTTGATTAAACGCGCTAATCTCAGGAATTACTGGTTCGAATAGGAAAATCCTTTTAGTGTTGGATCGCCCATTTATCGAGGAAGGTTATACGTTACATCACGCTACGAATAATAGGACCTGAACGTTAATGAGAAATGTTGCAAAAACTCAGAAAATTGAATCCTTTTGAAAGTGGCAGACAAAGCCACGCGGGACAGGTAGTATTATTTAAATGGCAGCGAATTTATGAAGATGTTATAAGCACTGGGTATGTAGAATTTTTTATTTTTGTGTAATTGTTACGCTAGAAATGCTTTGAGGCAAGTCATTTTCATTAGCCAAGCATTTATCTTCAGTGTAATGTAATTTGTAAAGCAGATAATTTATTTGCATATAACCGTAGAACAAAATAAGTTTTATCTTATTCTGTGTATTACAATAACTTTAACAGACTGTAGTTTTAATATATAAGTAAGTTAATCATAATTATGATTGTTTTATTTAAAACTTAGTCAAGATAAATGTATACAAATAAACTTAAGCAATCTAAGAATATTCATATAGATAACTAGCTGACCCGCGCAACTTCGTCTGCGTCTCTCAATAGTAATAAATTTTCTCCGTTTTTGAAACATTCTTCATTGGTGCTCCGCTCCTATTGGTGTTAGCGTGATGATATATAGCCTATAGCCTTCCTCGATAAATGGGCTATCTAACACTGAAAGAATTTTTCAAATCGGACCAGTAGTTCCTGAGATTAGCGCGTTCAAACAAACAAACAAACAAACAAACAAACAAACTCTTCAGCTTTATAATATTAGTATAGATAAACATGTTGTGAACTGCCAATGTTGGACATATGAATGTATGCGTTAGACTTGGTGGCTTGGTGGAATATAGGAAAGGAAATCTTGGTCAGGAAACTACTATTCATTAAGATTGGGACACTTATTCTGTGAGGGCTGTAGATGGGGCTTTCGGCTTTCCCTCTATGTTTCTCATACATTAGAGTGACAACATATGGGAGCAGGGGTTCTTTTAGGCTCGGAATATATCTTCACAAAAAGCACCGAGTGCAGATTTATTACTTGTTTCCTGGAATAGAACATTTTTTTGTACTTTTGCGTTTTCTAAATTTATAAATTAAACCAGTAAATATAATATGTATATATTTTTTTTTAATGTTAGAGGTGGCAGATGAGCAGACGGGTCACCTGATGGAAAGTGACCATCGCCGCCCATGAAGTCTGCAACTCAGGAGTCACAAACGCATTGCCGGCCTTTTAGGAAGGAGTAAGCTCTTTTCTTGAAGGTCGTATCGTTTATATTTATAAGAAAGAAGGAATATTATATTAATAATTTATCTAAATAAATATTATTATTATTATATTACTTTACCCTCCTTTCTAAGGAGAGGCCTATGTCCAGCAGTGGACTATTAAAGGCTGATGATGTGATGATGTGATATTACTTTACATTATATTTTTGAATACACAAATTCCTACATTACAGAAAACATACCAGACCTTTCGAAAGAATTACACCGATCGTGACCACGAAATATAATCGCGATAAAATCTCCATTTCCATACTAAACGAATAAAGCAATGCAAATGGTTTATCTTCGAGGTTGCCAAAAACAAATCTGTGTAAAAAATTGTTGATAATAAATCACTTATATTAAAATCAGAGAATTCGTTTGTTTCGACTGTAAATCTTCGTCGGACCCCAGTTTCATCACAAACGAACCACAATTTCTAAATAGTAACAGTTATTCTTAAAATGATAACATGCCTCTGAGTGCAATACTTCAATGACAAGGTTCAATAACCGGATTTGTCCTAGATATAGTATTTGGCAAACGACCCAACTTGGCAAGAAAATACCGATTAAATTAAGGACATTGCCACATTTCCTTCCTCTCTATGCAATTCTTTTATGGGACACCGACGATTAATTGTCAATTTGTAACGTTTCAGTAATAATACACAGCGTTAAGTTGCGATCTTGAGCAATTTTTTTGTTTTGAACTGGTAGTAGGGGCCCAATCATTGAATTAATAAATACTTGTTGTTGTATCTATCTGTGAATTGCAAAAGAGTGGCCATGAGTTTGTTTGCCCTTTCTTCTCATAAGGCGCAACCCATCGGAAACGGGCGCTTGTAGATCGGCACAGGCATATCATTTTCAGGCAGATTTTGTAAAGGTTTCATTTTTGTTAAATTTATTTGCTTACTATTTGACAAAACAGAGATTGTTGCTTTTGTGTGTGTTGATCTATGACTTTAGAGTATATATAAAAGACGATTTCAAACAATTTTAAAAATTTATGAAATAAAGAGAGTTTGAGTTTACTGTTGTAAACAAGCAATTTTTCGTAAACGGACTCCTGCAATTCTATTATATTAATTTATATTTTTATCGTTTCTTGAAATTAAAATCGACTTATTCTTTTACTGAAAATCAAACTGTTTAATAGTTTACGAATTCTGTTGATAAAAAAATAGCTAGTTTTATGACTAAATGTGTGCAATCTTTTTTAGGACTCCATTGTTTTGTTTTCACAATTTAATCAAAACCGTAAGTTGAAATCTTCTCAGCCTTGATGCTTGGTATCTTAAAAATCTTACATACTTGCTACTAAAAATATGACACTATGTTAATGCACAGTCGTGTTAAGAAATACACTTGTTGCCCATTTAAAACAAACATAAGTATTACCAGTATAAGCACCGTTTCTCTGGGTGGCAGGTGCGGTGGGTGCCCTTCCTTCGAGTGCGTTGAGTCTCCTCAGAGCATCAGCCAACGTTGACCTCAGACAAAGGAGTTCTTCAGCCTGCCTGGCGCATCGGACCTCAAGCTCGGCTACGCGGGCCGCCAACCCGGCCGATTCGCCTTCTAACATTTCATCTGGAAAATATACAAAGCACACATTATTTTAAGTTTAGAAAAAAAATGGATGTTTTCATATTTGAACAAGATTACAATCATTAATTTAAAATAATTAAGTTATGTTATAGACAAACAAAATACCCTCAAGTATTGGTCAGGGTGCGGGCTTCATCGATTCGTCACTATTTTCTTAACGCGAATGGACCATTGTCAATTTTTCTGCACCGCAGTCAGGTTTTTTTTTTCGGTATATGGAAGAGGGAGCAAACGAGCACACGGGTCACGTGATGGCAAGCGGCTACCACCACCCATGAACGAATGTAACTCAGGAGTCCCAGTTGCCGGCCTTTGAGGAGTACGCTCATTTCTTAAAGGTTTGAAGATCGCATTGGTCTGGAAATACCGCAGACGATAACTTGTTCCACAGGTTGGTTCTGTGAGGCAGAGTGTCTTGAAAAGCGCACAGTGGTGGAGTGCCAATTATCCAAGTGGTGAGGATGAAAATAAATTGAACGTAGGCTTAGTATCTTTATGGAAACAAGCCTATGTCGTTCTGGTTTCGACCTAGACCCACTTTACTCAATTATGTAATTTACAACACAGATCCATTGAAAGCAGTAAACTATTAACCAAACAAAGTGCCTACGCGATCTTAGCACATATACATGTTACGACTAGGTATTTGCGACAATTCTTTTAGAATTAACTCTTTGACAACACCATAAAGTTCATATTTGTTTCCACAAGTTATGGGTTATGCAATTTGTCGTGTGTGCACATCATGTCCACTATTGTTTAGTAAACAATGGTAGTAGCTTAGGAGCTGAATTTGCAAACCAATTATGTGGTATTTAGCCCGCTGATTTGGTACAATATTGCTAAATATGATGATTGGTCATCTTTGGAAAACAATCGTCTACCTGGACAATGTTTTAATTTTAACTAATCTTATTTAATATTATAAATACGAATGTGAATTTGTGTATTAACTTCTTAAACTGTCATCATTTTAATACAGAAAGTCTAAAATGTTGAAATAACTTCGCGTGTGGTACAAAGGATAAACAGTTTTACGTGTACTTCGGGGAATTGCCTATGGATAGTTTTGGGCTCAACGGGTGACCTTTTTCAATGGGTGAAACGACCGTCGGTGTCAGGCGCCGAGTGTCCTCTTAAGTAAAACCATTTATTCTTCATAAATAAATATCAAAATAATTTATATGTATAGTTAGATTCCATAACACATTACATACGAGTAGATTACATCAGGTCAGCGATGGCAATTAAGACACATCAAGAAAATATCACGATGTTCGTGTTTAGAAAGCTCATTTATTACCAATTAATTTATCATCGATGTTACAAAGTGGTCCATTTAGAGCAATCATTACATACTGTTAATTTCTTTTAAGTTTAGCGGTACGGGTTGTTTTTTAACATGAGTCTGTTAAATAGTAGTATTTTTCATTCGTCCATCTAAATTAACTCAAATATTCTTTATTGAGTAGGCCTTGTCAGTCAAACGTCAGTAGTACAATGATATTTTGTGGATCAGATTCAGTAATCAGCTATTGCCTGATAAGGTAACCAAGGTTTCGCTAATTTTTTCTTTTTATTTCTATTTTGGAACAAGCTTTTTTTTTGAAATAGCATAGGTTGAAAAGACCATGACGGCAGCTCCTCCCACCTCTCCTGTATCTATCATATCTTTGTACTTAGTAAGTTTAAAAAGTAACGTTTAAGTTAAGTTTTGAAGTACTGGAGACATTGATTAATAAATTTATAGGGATTTGGTCACTATTATGTTGCCTTAAAAGTGAGGCGCACCCTTTATTATATGACAAGACCGATACCGTTCGACAAATATGTAAAAAACCTAAACAAAAGTGGGTATTGAATCGATAGCAGAGGACCGGAGGTTTATGAGTCATATATTTTGTAATGCCATTCCTATAGTCTAGTTAACTTTAACAATGTGGTCTGCAACTGGCGTATGTTGTGAAAGTAGTAGGCCTCATACCATGACATGCATTATGCCTAGTTTCTTGCCTCACTCGGTTTTTTTTTTATTTCTATAAATACTATGTAGGTTTCACGAAGTATAATCACATAATTTTAATAATTAAGTATTCACCCTTAAAATATACGCTCCCTATGTATATGTACAGCTGGACATATGCCTTACCTGTAAGACGACCGGCTAAACATATATTAAAAATGATACAATCGAATCGAGAACCTCTACCTATTTTGAAATAGGTTAGAAATTAAATTAATAGCTACATGCTTCGTACAAGAAAGGAACTTGCTTTAGCTTTTTACACTTCTTCAAAATCAACATATAAGCTTCAATATTACACATTTCATATTCTTTTCCGTGCGTGTGTGTGACACCACAAACAAAATATCTACTAGCGGGTGCAGGGTGGGGTAAACCGCGGGTTATACTAAAGTTGCGTGCAAAACGCGATGCTAGTGATGCGACGTCTATATCACATTTCGCTACCATAAATAACCAAGTCCGCTCACATCGATAGGATAAAAAGACATCAACGTCGGAGTCCGAATTTATGCCGCTTTTATGTTAACAGTAATCGCTGTAATAAAACTACAGGTAAAATTTCGACTTATGGTCTTATACAACTTACGCCATGCAGCATACACTTCGTTCATGGTGTCTCCGGGCGAATCACTAGCCCTGGAGCTTCTGGATTCACGATCTCCGTGGCTCTCCATGACGATGGCACTTAATGGGTTTGGCACACGGTAATAGGCAACTGTTTCTTCACTTCATGTTAAATCTGTTTTCCTTGTTTGTATTTTAGAAAGACGTTGGGTGAAAAATTTTTGGCGCGAAAAGATCCTTATAATCTGGACAACAGGTACTTCGAATTGTCTATGGTAAAGTTGTAAAGGGCTGGGTAAATGACTTTTTTAAGTGATTTTGCTTAACACGCTAGTATAGTAGTGTGTGTTTTTGATTTACATTTGTGTTTAGGTTAACTATTCTAAAAAATTACTATCGTAATTTGTTTCAAAAGGTAGGTAATTTTAATGACAAGAGCACCGTATCCAGAAAAGACCTTAGACTAATATAGGTTTTTAACGGTACACTTGCAACTATTGTCATAGCATTTGTGCGTTTTCCAGTGACAATATCTAATGTAACGTAAAAATAAACATAATGTTTACTACACCAGTCAGATGGATTTTCCCGGATTTGTTTTACTTAAGACAAGATTGGTAAGATGCAAAATCCAATGCCTTGCTCAAAAAGATATAGTTACATAGATAAATATATACCTAATCATGATAAATACCTACTGATCATCAACGTTGTTATTTAAATAACAAAACTCTTTTAAATATTGTATGTGTTACTTGAAACAACCTTAAAATTTGACTTGAAAAGGCTTGCTGACAATGTAAGCTCTAACTGTCTTCTCTTAAAAACAATCCAAAAAGCCACCTTTAAGATGTCAAGGCAATAATTGCAAAAATGCGTACCACAATGGAAGTAGTGTAGGCATGTCGAAACACTTTACTTTCCCACATCGTAAGGAATTCGGGTAACGGTAAATATACAGCTGCGCTCTCTGATTTGCATAATGATGTGCAACGATCTATCGATTACTGTTTATCGGTAGCGCACATCCCTAGTTAAGATGGTCCGGTCCATCCGGTTACCAGGTGACCTCATATTTCGGATGACCTTTGAAGCGTTACTTGACAAAAAATGGTCTTAGTTATGTAATGTTCGTGTATTCAAAATTATACAGGGTAACATAACTCACATAGGAATATAAATTCACTAGCTGACCCGCGCAAGTTCGTCTGCGTCTGTCAATAGTAATGAATTTTCTCCGTTTTTGAAACATTCTTCATTGGTGCTCCGCTCCTATTGGTCTTAGCGTGATGATATATAGCCTTCCTCGATAAATGGGCTATCTAACACTGAAAGATTTTTTTCAAATCGGACCAGTAGTTCCTGAGATTAGCGCGTTCAAACAAACAAACAAGTTTGTTTGTTTGTTCTTCAGCTCTTCAGCTTTATAATATTAGTATAGATAATTAATAACTGCAAATAATTGTGTAGGGTTCCTCCTAAGTACACAAGCAAATATTATTTTGAAAACATAAGGAATAAATATATTTACATATATATCTTCAAAAGTTTGTACAGTAAGTCAAATTTTTGATTGATAGATAGATAATTTTTGACTAAAAAGCGCAAGAATCAAATTCAAAACTACCTCCTTTTTTATATCAGTTAAGAATAGCTTCACATGAGATTCTGTTTAAAACCAGGTCATGATACAACTCTTAAAATATTCGCAGAACTATTCTATTACCCAGTTATTGACGCTTCTAATAAATTAAAGCATTACATAGACTTAATGTCAGCTTTCAAATCGCATGAACACTATTTTAAATTCATGACCAGAGTTTAATAAAAAGATTCAACATAACGACGTTGGATTGTTACGCAATTACCAATTGAACCTTTGCAAGGAATTACTTATGTAAACTAAATGATATACAAAGTACTCTTGAACGTTCGAGAGCAAATGGGAAAGAGTTTATATAATACGGTATATCACGACTAGGAAGTACTGAAGTTTACTGAAGTAAAGTCATGAGTTAGCACCACGTTACACGGTCATGTTTGACACGTAAAGTGAAACCGCATTCCTAGACTTAAGCTAGAAACATCAATACATAAATAAAACTGCGGCGCGAGACATCCATAGAATTTAAATACTATAAATGTATGTGTTATGATAATTTTGAGTTAGCTTATTTATTAATTTCCAAGTTACTCAGGCTAGGCTAATAACTGTCTAGAAATCTATAACCTCATACTAGATTTTTTTTATAATTTAAAGCTATGACCATGAAGAACTATTGGAACTTCTAATGACTGCACGGATGGCTTAGTGGTTTAAGCGGTCGCCACGCCGCTTACTACGCTGAGTGTTGTGGGTTCGATCCCCACATGGGACGACACTTTGTTTGATCCACAAATTGTTGTTCTGAGTCTGGGTGTCCTTGTGTCCGTTTCATGTATGTTTGTAAAGTCCCCCGCGACACGGGATTTATTCCTAGTGCGGGAGTTGTCTTTAAAAAGTTCCTCTATATTTTTCTACAATCATCAACTCAATGCGTAAGCTTGTAAAAGCAAGAGATTTCAAGCTTATATAATATGAAGTAAACTAAATAAAAAAAAATATTTACAACCATTTCTTACTGTCGGTCTCTTCTGAAAATTGACATTTAAATTGACAGTATCAATATTGACCGTGTATTGTGGAACTAATATATTTCACATCACAAGACAGTGGTTAGAATTCTCACGAACTGAGAAAGTTAACGTGAGAAACCATTTAAAAAAACAATGATTTGCTTATGGTCTTAAGTATATAGAAATAAGGTTCTTATACTTCGAATAGTTGCAGATCTAAATTGCTCTATTATAGATAAGTGTTAGAAATAACCGTATCATGTGGTATTGCATAAGAGAGACATTATAACAGTAAGAAATAATTGGTTTATGATATCTTAGGACAATCAGGGTCATGTCTAATTGTTCTGTTGGGAGCTTTTTGTCACACCGCGATTTCTTTGTGGGAAAGCGTAGAATATCGGAATGAAATCTAGGTGCCTTGGAGTACTTCTTGCATATTATTATTTCTGTACAGCAAATGCAGACGGTAGTTTTGAGAAAGAATGAGATAATGGTAATAAAACATTCATAGTTACAATGAGAAGATTTCTCTGTTTATTCGTATAAACTAATAATTTTATTTCTCAATAAATTACCTAAAAAAAAATACCGCCTTCAATGTGTCTACTTCAGGTAGAAATTTAATAAACTATAATGTTTATTCCTTGATTTTCCACACTTACGAGTGATTTTTTTCTTGAAATTCATTAATGACGAAATTCAGATGTAACAAACCCAAAAAAATACAACAAAAGGGAGTCTTTTTTTTAAAGTTGGTTAAAAACAGCTATACCAGTAAATATTTCATACAATTTCTGTTTTTTTTTTTTTTTTTAAAGACAACTCCCGCATTAGGAATATATTTTATTATACCTTTACAAACATACATGAACCGGACACAAAGAACATCCAGACTCAGAACAACAATTTGTGGATCACACAAAGTGTCGTCCCATGTGGGGTTTGAACCCACAACACTCGGTGTAGTAGGAACCGGCGTGGCGACCGCTTAAACCACTACGCCATCCGTGCAGTCAAAATCCGTGCTGTTAAAAAATTTTTAAACTCTACCCTATGCAATAGTATTGCGGCATAATCAAACTTACATGCGAATTGTGACAAGAATATATTAGCGACATCAAACCGTCGACTGGCTGATTTTAGTCCACATGGGTATATACAAAATGAGACACCGAAAAAATTAAATTCAGATTCATGTCACGCTTTCCTAAAATCAATTGTATTTAACTCATATTATCTTTCTTAATACGACGTATCATTGACTATAAACTAATCACCTAAGTAACGGGACAATTCCCGTTGTTTATCGAAATCCAATGTTTTATCTCGTTTTTAATGGCGACAGAAAGTCTACCTGTATCGTTTTATTACTTATAATGTGGAAAAATATCTTGGCATCTACTAGAGTTTAGAGATACATTCGTGTTTCTATCTGATAAACGATACGTATTATGTTGGGAAGTACAAATTCTATGAAAATATTTAGTTAGGTAAAGTAATCACGTTGTCTCCTAAAGTGAATTATAATGGATATCTGTGTTCGATTAGTTATTTGTACTAATGTAATAAAATCATCATCATCAACAGCCTTTAATAGTCCACTGCTGGACATAGGCCTCCCCTTAGAAAGGAGGTTTTGGCCTACTATACCACGCTGGCCAGACCGGTTGGTATAGGGTTTGTTTCAAGTTTTCCTTCTCTCTGCAGTGTTGTTGTCCTGCGTAGTTTTCTCCCTTAGTCGCCTCTTACGACACCCACGGGATGAATAGGGGTGGTGACACTCTGTATTCTTAATCCGTCACCACACGGACAAATGTAATAAAATACCTAATATTATGTTAATTGGTATTTTATTAGTCGTAGTGCTGAGCAAACGGCGATTAAAATATAAACACCTCACAGTAGATTCGAACCGTGCCTCGCTAAGCGATAAGGAGATACTGTCCAGTTCTGATTATGCTTGTCGTGATCAACGCAAACATTTTTGGACATCTTTTGATCAGACGAGGATTCTGAAGTTTATAAGCTGTGTATTCAGTTTCGGGTATATGCAGAGCAGAGCAGACGTTTTAAGAATGTGTTTAATTTGAGCAGTTTCATATACACGTATATGTATATATATGTATTTGTTTAAAAGGTACATACGGTTATATATTTCAGTGTCATTTTATGTTGTCCGTATGGTGACGGATAAGAATACGGAATATCACCTGTAGGTGTCGTATGAGCCAAGTAAGGAAGCAAACTACGCAGGACAACAGCACTGCAAAGAGAAGGAAAACTTGAAACAAACCCTATACCAGCGTGGTATAGTAGGCCAAAACCTCCTTTCTAAGGAGAGGCTTATGTCCAGCAGTGGACTATTATAGACTTGACGATGATATTATGTTACAGGTTTCAGTTAAGTTCACCGTATGTTTATCTCATAAATTCCAATGGCAGCTTAAAAAGCAATAAGACTTAACGGTTCCTGTAAATGGGACATCAAAAT